CATTGAAAAGTGTAGATTTGTCAACTTACATTTAAAAGAAAAAAAAATTGTGGAAATAAAGCGAAAAAACAAAGCAAAAATAAGTTAAAAATTGTATAATTTGATCGTCAATAGCTACTACATTGTAATGAAAAAAACCGTTCTAGTTTCTTTTAAGAGCCATTTGCAAGTCAAAAAACTGAAAATATTTCTTTCACATTTTTAAAAATAAAAATTATATAATCAAAATAATAGATCATTTTTTACTGACAAATTTGGAGCGAAAAATCATGAAAAATGAAAAAACAAAACAACAAATTTTCTAAAATTACATAGTTTTGAAGCTTCAAATGAAGATCGAATTCGAATTTTAATTCGAATCGAATTAAAAAAAAAAATATTTGTTTTTGTTGTTTTTTTTTCTTCATTTCTTCTTAAAGAATTCTTTCTTGTTTGTTTCTTTTTGTTTTTGATCGACTAGCAATGATTTCTTTCTTTTCTTTTAGTTATTAAGTAACTTCCGAATTTATTTTTATTTAAATTTTATATTGTTTGTAATATTTATTTTTATGTTATATTAGTTTTTTTCAATTTTGTATTACTTTTAATTACTTTTAATTTATTAATAAAAAATCATTTTTTTTTAGTGGAGTGGCAGTTTTGAGCTGCACAGATTGCAGCGGGAGCAGCACAGCGTCGAGCGACATCACCGACCCCGGGTCCCCCTTCAGCACAGCGTCGAGCCATTCGGAGGACTCGGCGTCGCAGCCGTCGTCGACGTCGAAGATGCCCCCCACGCAGCAGACTGCCCATCATCCTCCTTGGCCTTGGACGACCACGGAAGACTCGAATATCAATAAAAGGTCCATGCAACTCGAAAAGACTGCTTTCCCGAAACGACTCAAGTCCAACGAGGACAACACAACTAGCAAACAATCACCGCCATGCCTAAATACGTCGGGCAAGGGATTAATCCTAGCCACGAGTGACAACCCTAGTCCAAACGATAATAATAAATCCGGTAATGTTAAGAAAATGTCGAAGAAACCCGAACTGGCCAAGCAAGGGAAGATCACAGAGTATTTCAAATCGCAGGTAAGAAAACGTTTCAGGTTTCACTCCAAAATATACTTAAAATATCAGAAACTGTGTTAGAATTCAAATTCAAGTTTATTTACCATTTTTGAAAAAATCTGGTGTGATCAGAGTGTAACCGAGTTTGGGGTGCAGTTTTTTTTTGTTCGGCACCCATTATTATTATTATTATTTTATCACAATAATGGTTCTAAATAATTTGTATCCTCATTAATTTATTGTATCTTCAACCGATTTTTACCATATGTTTCGTGCTGCGTCCCCTTCCTACATACCAAATTTCACGTTTCTAGCTTTTATCGTTTTCGAGATATGCACAATGGCCCAAATCAACTTTTTTGGTAAAAGTAAACAAAAGTAAAAAAGCATTTAAACACGTTTTTCAGCTAAAACTGTAAGTCACAAAATTGTCGTTGCTTTTGCAAAATTTTGTTACAAAATACGAAAACATCACCACGTTGGGCCAAGAATAATGTTAATTTTGCCCTTTTCAAAACTTTAAGCGCTTTTTTGAGCAGAAAAAAACCAATGAGAAAATTAAATCAAATGACGTTGTTTTGCTTAATTTAGTCTGTCTTTGAGACATAAACTTGTTTATTTTGCAAAATAATATCGCAGGTAAGAAAGGGTTTCAGTTTTCACTCCAGAAGTTTGGAGAAAATTTACTCAAAATATTAGAAACAAGATATTTTTTTAACTAACTAAAAATTCAAATCTAAATTTATTTTGCACATAATTAAGACAAGTTCGAAAAAAAAATTAAATAAAAAATAGCATATTTTATGTTATTAGGAGTAAAAGTGATAGTTTATAGTGAGCCACATAACGAATAACATACTATTTTATCCGCAAATATATTCAGATCGTGAACAAAATAATCAGGACACTTTGCAAGTAATGAAATCATAACAACGCTAATAAACAAACATCACGAGTCAGTATCGGACTTTGTGTTGAGATTTTCGAGAGTGTTTATTAATTTTACTAGTGCAGTTAGTAGGTAAATACTTAGTTGGTAAATATCAATAATGTAAAAGTAAAAACGCTTAAGCGCAAAAATAAAATTTTTACTCCATGGCTGAAAGGTAAAATTGTTTTTTGTTTTATAAAAATGGAAATTTTTAAAATTTTCGAGCATTTTCCACGTTTTCAACCAGAAACTTGATTATTTTGTCAAATTTTTTCAGAAAAGTCGAAAAATCACCAAATTGGTTAAAAATAATTCTGTTTGTTTTTTTTTACAATATTTTACTAGACAGGATCCAAAATGACAATTTATATATTTTTTTCGAATACTTTTACAGCTAGAAACAGTATTATTTCGCAAAATATTGTTAAAAACAATCCAAAAATTCAACAAATTTGACCTTTTTTTCAAGTGTTTAAGCACGATTTTGAGATAAAAATCTTGTCAAAACACGCTTTTAAAATCTTCTAATAAATAATGAACTTTAATTTTTCAAAAAGCAGAACAAAATGCGTTATTTAAGACTATAAATAATCAAAGAATGTAATTAATAAGCCATTTTTTACTAATTTCGTCAAATCATAATTAATAAACAAATTTAGTTTTTTAAATTTTATTTTAAATGATTATTTTGCAAAAGACAAAAAAGTTTGTAATTGAGATTTTCAATTCAGAATTGTTGAAATTTTGCTTCTTCTAGGTTTTCTATTATGACTAAAAATCCAAAACAGTTATTTTTAAGAAACTTGAAAAAACCGAAAAATCAACAATTTAAAAAATTAAAATTTAGGTAATACAAAAAATATAAAAATATGTAATTTTATTGTGTAGTTTTAAGGACAGTGGAATTATATTCAAAAGATTTTGTAAATTAACTCCATTCTGAGTTAATGGAAGAAGGGAGGAACCATTTTTGGCCTATCTTAGAAAAATCTTACAGAAATTTTTAGTTAAAAAAYGCGCTTAAAAGTTCAAAACACAAAATATCATCATTTTAGAGATAATTTTACACAATTTCTCGTTAAAAAAAACCTACCAAAAGTTGGAAAAAAAAGCAAAAAACGAGATGAATTTTAATCTAATTTATTGTTTGAACAAACTCTCGAAAATGTGCTTAAATGCTCAAACAAATGTAAAAAATAAGGAGGTTTTAAAATTAATTTAGAAACTTTTAGTTCAAAAAAGCGTTTAGAAGTTGAAAACATATATACAAAATATACAAGAAATATTTCCATATTAGACATAATTTTAAACAAAATTGGAAAAAAGCAAAAAACAAGATGAGTTTTGCTCCAATTTCATGTGTTTTAAGAAATTCTCGAAAATGTGCTCAAAAAATGTAAAGAAAATATGAGATTTTCAAATTAATTTGGTGTTGGTGTTTTTTCGCGAAAAAAAAGTTTCACCTTTAAAAAAGACACTCAACACTAAAAAGAGCTAAATTAACATCATTTTCGAACCAGTTCAGTATTTTTTTGTCTTATCTTACCAAAATTTCACTTAAAAACGAGTGAAATCAACAGAAACAAGTAAAAATAAGACTAATTTCAATCTAATTTGGTAATTTTTGCATTTGCATTGACGAAATTTTAAATTCTTGACACAAAAACGAGATTTTTCGGCTCAATATTAATAAAATGTCGCTATTTTTGACAAAATTCGACAATTTTGCGAGAAAAATTAACGAAAATAAGGTCAATTTTGATTTAATTCGATCATTTTAGAAAAATCTTACAGAAATTAAAACTTCAAAACAAAAAAATCATCATTTTAGAGATAATTTTACACAATTTCTCGTTAAAAAAAAAACCTACCAAAAGTTGGAAAAAAAGCAAACAACGAGATGAATTTTAATCCAATTTGCTGTTTTAACAAACTCTCGAAAATGTGCTTAAATGCTCAAACAAATGTAAAAAAT